TCCCTGTCCCCTGTGTCCTCATCCCTGTCCCTGTCCCCATCCCTGTCCCCTGTGTCCCCATCCCCTGGTCCCCTTTCCCTGTCCCTGTTTCTCTCCCCTGTCCCCTGTCCCCATCCCTGTCCCCTGTCCCCTGTCCCCATCCCCTTCCCTGTCCCCGTCCCTGTCCCCATCCCTGTCCCCACGCCACCACTGCCAGTCCCGTGTCCCTGGGCCGCGCTCCCTGGGCCAGTTTTTATTTCATTTAATTTCATTTCATTTTATTTATTTTCATTTCTTTTGATCCCGCCCGCCTTTATTTGCCCAAAGCCCCTCCCTGGCCGAGCATTTCCTGTCCCTTTGGGGACACGGTGCCACCCCGGCTGCCACCCCCAGATGCCACCCCAGATGCCACCCCCCACCCCACGCCACCTCCCCTCTTTCGGGGTGTCACCCCCTTTGGGGACACCTCTGTCCCCAGATGCCACCACGGCTTGGGGACACACCTGGTGGCCCCCGAGAGGGGACAGCGGCGGAAGTGGCGTGTCCGGCCGGATGTCCCCAAGGCCACCAAGCCGCCGGGGACCGGCGTCCGGCACAAACAAACCCACAAAGGGCCGGAAGGAAGGGGACAGGGGACAGCCGGATGTCCCCTGTCCCTCTGTGGGGCCACCCCAAACCTTTGGGGGCGTCACCCTGAGGGTGGCACCAACCCCGAGCTCTGTCCCTTTGTCCCTTTGTCGCTGTCTCTCCACGGGCGTTTTGGGGTTTTTTGGGTTTTTTTTTGGGTTTTGGGGTTTCTGGGTTTCGGGGGTTTTTTGGGGTTTTCTTTGGGATTTTGGGGTTTCTGGGTTTGGGTATTTTTGGTTTTGGGGTTTTTGGAGTTTTTGGGTTTGCGGTTTTTTTTACTTTGGGGTTTTTGGGTTTTGGGTTTTTTTGGGGATGTCTCTAGAGGATCTGGGAGACTCCAAGTGGGACAACAACCCTTGGTTTCTGTGGACTTTCTGGGTTTTCTCAGGGAATTTTTGGGGACTTCTTGTGGGATTCTCAGGGATTTATCAGTGAATTTTCGGGGAAATTTTTAGGGATTTCTTGGTGGATCTTCAAGGAATTTTCTATGATTTCTCGGACAGTTTTCTGGGAATTTTCGGGGATTTCTCCGCGAATTTCGGGGCAATTTCCACGCAATTTTCTCGGGGGCATTTCTCACTGATTCCTCCTTCATCCCAGCTGAGTTTTCCCCCAAAATCCCAAATCCCGACCCTTTTTCCAGGTGAAGAACGTGTCGGGCGGGACGAGCGTTCCGGACGAAGCCGCCACCGTGGCGTACTCGGAGAAGGGCGGGACCCCCGGGCCGGCCCCTCCCTACAGCCCCCCCTCCTACAGCGACCCCCCCGCCAAGGGCTGGAAAAGGTGGGGAAATGTGATTGGGTCAGGAAAGGATGGGGGGCTCAGGGAATTTGGGGAGGGGTCGGGAGAGGGGTGGGGAAGGGAAGGGAAAGGAGGAAAAGGGTGGGAAATTTGGGGAGGGGTCAGGAAAGGTGTTGGAAGAATGGGGAAGGGGCGGAAGAGGGAGGGAAAGGTGAGGAGGGGTTGGGAAATATGGGGAGGGGTCGAGAGAGGGGTGGGAAAGTTTGGGAAATGTGGGAGGGGTCAGAAAAGCTTGGGGGGGGATCAGGGAATTTGGGGAGGGGTCGGGAGACAGATGGAAAAAATGGGAAGGGGAAGGAAAGGTGCGGGAAAATTTGGGAAATGTGGGGAGGGGTCAGGACAGGAGGGAGGGGTCGGGGAATTTGGGGAGGGGTCGGGAGAAGGTTTGAGGGGTCAGGGAATGATGGGGGGCATTGGGGAATTTGGGGAGGGGTCGGGAGAGCGTGGGAAAGGGTTTGAGGGGTCAGGAAAGGGGGAAACCCCCCCGTGCACCCCCAGGGCCGTGTCCCCGTGTCCCACGTCCCCGTGTCCCCTCAGTGACCCCCCCTCGGACCCCCCCTCGGGCTCGGAGGAGCCGGACGCCGCCCAGCCCCCCCCG